CCCACTTTGAAAAGAGACAACGGGAATGTGGAAGTGTGAGTGAGCTGCATGCCACCGAATAATGAGCCTTTTCATTGTGTAAATCAAAGCGTGCAGAACACGCAGGGCCACAAACAGAGAGTTTGCGGTTTGGCAGGTGACCTTCGTGGCCAAGCAAGGCTGGAATTCTCAGAGTTGGCTTTCGGAAAATAGTTCCGACGTCAAGGCCTACTCACTCATACAATTTTAAACATTTTAATTCAAGCAAGCGGACAAATAATTTACAGTGTTTGGATTTAAAAACAGAATGTTACTGTCCTGGGTCTTATTTTGACCTCTTCTTGTAAATTTCAAGGAAATTCCTGACATTACATTAAAGATGTCTGGACAGGGCCAACAATGATTTCAAGATCCAAACAATATACATGTACTATTACTACCTACCCTTTCAACAATTTGTATAGCATACAACCGAATGAAAACCAGTCGGCACTGGAGTCATAGGCAAGTCCCTTGGACAGAACCTCTGGTGCCATGTAGCCATGAGTTCCTCTACAGTAAATTACCCAAGAATTGTGAATCAGTACAGGCAAAGAAAGATGATGAGGATAAGCTTTGGATATGTTCATTTCTATGCAGTATCACAATACTGCCACTGAAGGTAAACAATTACATTAGGAGAAATTTGGTTTGCTACAACTGAAAAAGACCATGTACATGCACCAATAGTTGTAGAGACGGTCAAAGTACATGTATGCGCTTAACCGGTCCCTTTGGAGCAGACACATCTTATGTGACACATCAATAGTGAAAACCTCTCCTCAGAACCCAGTAAACATAATGTTAAGTCCCCACATAATGTAAGCATAGATGCTCAATTGATAGCTCTATAATGCTGCTGTTCCACTGGGTTCCTCACACAAACTAGTGAATGATGACAAAAAATGCAAAACACAGTACAACCATTCCTTCTTTGAACAGGCGAAGGTATTTCTGAACTAGCATGTGGTAGCAGTTGTTTAATTCCGCGCAGTTTCACCTCATGAATGGTACCTTCCATCTATCCCCCAAGTGAAATAATTCTTACAACTGCATTAATGAACATTCATTTTGTATTTATGAATACTGATGGCTACATGAGTATTCAGTTGACTCTCGGTATTACCAGATCTGCTGGACCAAGTGAAAATGCTAATTGTATCTAAAATTCACGGCAATGCAGAATGCTGGTTCCACTCTCTGGTTCACATGTAAAGATGTTATTGTGTATGCATACATGTACAAATAGCGTGCATAATGTTCAAAACAATGAAGAATGACCAAGGTGAATTTTTAATAACAAACCTTAAATGTTAGTTGAAAAAAATGAAATGTGCATGTAAGATACATGAAATAAAAATGCCAAAACGGTCAGTCATAATTTATGGCTCAGGACCAAAGATCGTATAGTGCATGGAGAACTTCACCGTGAATGCACTTAAAACGTTGTAATCGCATGGGTGCCATTTGAGGAAGCGATACGCCTGCACCTGGTGAGCCTGCGCCTAGGCATTACTGTGAACCGCACAGGCGTATCGCTTGCTCAAATGGCACCCATGGTAATTACACCTTTTGGGCAGAAATATCCATCTTGCGCTATACGATCTTTGCTCAGGACTAAGTCAACATAACAATGGTGAGAATACCAAGACTGATGATCAACTGGTGCCTCTCTGTGTAAGTAACATTTCTTACGCAAATCATGTCACAGAGAGGTATTTTATTGTCCCTTCATTTTGTAATGTTCAATGTGTGACCCCAGTTTCCTTTTAGACACATGGCGATGTTGGAAATTTAACTAATGGACAACCATGAGTGATCGATCGTCAACACGTCTGAACTTACCCTAAGCATCTCAGGAGAATTTTGTCCAATGTGTATGTCATAAATGAACTTTGTGATGGGAAAGATACATGGACGTCTAGCAAGACATACGTCATACAAATACACAAGTGCATTGGTGGGTGTGCCAGTTCTTACCCAAAATCCTTTGCGACATGAATAATTCAGTGTTTGGGTGATCAGTTCCTTGCTGCTTTTTAACTTAGAAAACAATAATGGTTTTAACCTATAATTTAGCTTGGGGCCGGGGTGAATTTACTTTTTCTTTTGAAGAGGCTATTGAAGAAAGGTTTAATTTAGCACCTTTTTTATCGTATCGTATTTCAAAATGAAAATTAATGGAACATGATCATGGTTTAGGGGATTATTTTGATATTTTGGTCTTTCTTTTTCAAGTTATGTGAACGGGACAAAGGATTCAGTAATTTATTGGGGGCTTGGGATTAATGGCCATATTTTTCAGAAGTTTGAAACTGGCAAAAGCCCTATGTGAAATTGATTGTTTTTAAACAATTTCCCTTTGACGATGCACAAATGTCACAGATGACTGGAATGCATCAACAGGGTGGAGCATTTAATGCTTAGTTGTGGTTGGTAACCAGAGCGGACGATTAAAGACTATGCACCATCCAACAATGAGCACCTTCACATGAAAAAACTCTACACAGGACCAAGACAAAACAACTGACTCAACTGCTAGCAATTATAAATGCATCGGCAGCCATGCTGTTTGTGTAATGACATCAACAAAATCCTTCGTTGTGAAAGGAATTTGAACTATACCATTTCGCTGTTACAGATTTTCTCATGAGGAATAGGACCAAAGATGTGCTTGTTATAACCGGCACTTCACCGTAGTCGCGTTTGTAATGAGAATTGACTGTTTATGAAATTAATTAATCTGTTGATGTTAGAGATAATACACAGCTGTACTTACACACTTGCATGGGGTTTTTTCTTGGAGAAGTCACAGGCTAGACCCAGATCAGAGATTCTTACATGACCATTCTCATCCAGAAGAATGTTAGCAGGTTTGAGGTCACGATACACTACACTGCGATTGTGCATGTGCTCTAACCCTAGGATGATCTCAGTTGCATAGAACTGAACTTCTTTCTCTGAAAACACTCCGTGCTGGGATAGATGGTAGTGCAGATCACCACCTACAGGAAAGCCAACAATATACTGTATGTAATATACCATCTACAGTCATACCCACACTGCATTACCCAAACGTCTATTGCACTATAGGTAATATATTCAAACTACCTGTACGTGTAAGAAATGTGGGAATTTTAATTAGCATTTTGACAATTTGAGAGGATTGAACATGCTCTGTCACTTTTTCTAATAATTCATTAACCAACATTTATTCAGAATATTGGTTGAAATGTGAATATACGGTAGCCACCCTGACGTTACTGAAATTCAGTTCTGAGCAGTGAGAAGAGTGACGTGCAGACAGTGAAATATCTGAATCATATGAGGACCATCCATGGGTATATCCTCATATTGGAAAATCAGTTGGAATTAGAATTTTGTTTCCTCAAATTTCCCAGGGAAGATTTACATGTCACATGCCATGCCTGGCATAATCCAGCACTGTCCGATGTCAAAAACATTGTGTAAATGACAATGCGGCATAAACGGTTGAGAGAATTTATTCAAGTTAAAAAATGCTGGTCAGAAAACCATTAACAACGCTTGCATGCAAAGCCATTTAAATAACATTCACATATCTCTTAAGTAGTAAAGAGTACGAACAAGTACTGTACATGTAGGTAAAACAGTCTAGATCACAGTGCTCTAACCAACTGGTCAACATTTGGAGAAATTACCCTTCTCATCATCTATACCATTCAAGCAAACCAAATTAGACAAATTAGACGACTTGGGGGACTGGTTGACGTCACTGCATACTTGGAAGTTGTCTTTTACATGTGGGTAATTCCAGAAATTAGGGGTCCAAAAGTGTGACATTTTCGTGTCTCTGTTACATCTGACCTTCATTATTTGATATGGAAATATCACCTGAATTGATTTCAAACTATGACTATTTGTTTGGCAGGTAATTTGCATTGATTTATCACTCTTGGCAATTAGAAAATGTGTTCTGAACTTACAAGATTATGTCACAGATGTGACAGGGATACGAAAAAACTGGACCCCTAATTTTTGGAATTAGCCATCACAGAGACTTTTTACAAAAAATTATTGCTGTGTGTAGAAATGAGAGGATGATATTGTCTTTGGACATGGATGTACGTGCCCAAATTTCTGCTTGTATTTCATAACACTTTTCTCTTCAAACTTACTTGAAGAAAGACAATTGATATAGCATATGGGTACAAACCTTAAAAGGTACATGTTTGCTAGTCTGTGAAATGGACAATATCTGTAATTAACATACCATTCATGAGATCAAGAATAAAGCACAGCTTGTCTGGAGTCTGGAATGCATATGTCATGCACACAATGAATGGGCTATCATTCTGTAAAATGGAAAAATACAAAATTCATACTAAATCTTGACAAATTCATGTTAAACCCAACAAAACAAAACCATATAAAACACACTGCACAAAAGATGGACTATCAGTCTGTAAAATAAAATAACATGTTTTCTTTTCGCTGATGACAAATATTGAAATGTAGCAAATTAAAACCATACAAAACTTAACACAATCTGTGATGTTCAGTAACATGGTTTTGAGTACATATCACGCTCGATTTTTAGTAAGGCATCAATTCAATGAGCAGAATCACTGAACAATGTCCAATTTATCACATGAGCCCTCAAAATGACATTTTTATCTAATTCATTAGATGAAGCTAAGAAGTAATATTATTGGTCTGCTTTACCTCACTGACTAAGGATAGCATGATGCGTTCATTGAGTGCAAGAGATTCTCCCTGTTTCATCTTGATCCTCTTCTTATCCAAGCATTTCATTGCATACCTGAAAAAGAGGGACATTACATGTATCTTCATCTAGTACTCTCCAATCAAACTGTAGGCCTAACCTTTAAATGGAGATAAATCTTTACCCATGAACATGTACCAGTACATGTACATCTATTCATTTCCCGGGGCTTTTGCTGTGATTTTAGACATTCACAAAATTAAACAAAAACAAGGAAAATTTTTTCCCGTTATTTTCATATGCATGAAGTCTTACTTCCCACTTGAATTGACACTCACTGTCAATTGTGAAAACCTTTTCCTTCGAATTTAGCAAGTTTGGTGTCTGAATCTCTACCCAAATGCAATCACGTTACACATTTCTGGGAAATTTGGTCTAAGCAGGGCACAAATTTAAGTTGGGAAGGTTTCCAAATTACTATCAGCAATTTGACAAGGACTGATCCTTAGCTTTTTACTTGTAGAGTCACATACGTAGGGTACTCGTACATGTCACAAGAATCAGTTAATCACACTGATTCCACACCAAGGTTGTGAAGACTTATGCACTAAAGTGGGGCAGATTTCATGCTTCTTACAGTAAAGTAAAAGTGAATTTACAGGGAAATAAGTATAGGTGTAAGCTGTGGAAGAAATTAGAACTTAGCCGTGTTCAGATTGGACCTTTTTGGTTAATCTACAGCAACTTTCCTGTAGAATAACAAAATTAAATCCAATGGGGACACACAGTAAACTGATGCCCCTGTCAACTTACGGCAATTGTCATGTAAAACTACCAGGCCAAAAATGGTCGCGCAAGATTTCTGCGCAGTCACAGTAAATTAGCAGGGCCGCTAAAAAGTCCAATTGGAATATTTCCATGATGTATATTTACCTAATCCTCTGGACAGCTCACTGCTGCACAGAGACTGACAATGGGCATGCAAAAATGGTTGTATGGTTCCCTGTCTCCTTGCATATTGCACAAAAGCATATGGCGCACACAAACAGTACGTGTACGCGGTGCAAGATATACAATCATTTATGTGTATATCTTGTTCAACTGCCACTTAAAAGGTTGCAGATTTGTCATATGTTTGTAAAATTTTGCCAATTTTGTCATATCCAGCTCGAGTTAAATGTGAATTGCACAGCGCTCAGAATATGTGACTTTCAGCTAGTCTTGCACAGCAAATAAATGTTCCATTACAGTTAAAAAGTCCAAGTGGGAATGCATGGAAGACTGACATAAAGGGATGTCGCAGTATGTTCCTGCATGGCCATGGAAGAAAGGTTCAACTGGAAAAATGGCTTTACACTGACATTTTCAAAAATTCAAATAATTTAAATAACAACTTTATTAATATTTCACCGACTCCAAACTTCTTACATTTTGCCAGTGTCTGCTTTCCGACAACCGTATACCTCTCCAAAGCCCCCTCTTCCTATTATTCTGTGTACACTGAAGTCATTCATTGTTAGCTGGTAGGAGAGGATAAATGAATATTATAAGTATTACAGCAAGTGCTACACATGATATATTCCAAAAAGGAAGGGCTAGCAAAGTCAAGAGTAAAAGAAAACAAGAAGACAATACATGTAGATTACATATGCACCCTTTTAAAATTGTAGGAAATTTAATGTTCATATACATGCACCTTTGCAAATGTATTTTTCAAACCTTGGAATTTTTCCAAGATCAGAGGTACAGGACAGGGCACAGTTGGACTAGGACAGAGGCAAGACACAACAGGGTAGGATAGATGAGACAGTACTGAAGGGCAGGAAAGCACACAGTAGGTCAGGGTAGTGCAGGGTAGCACGGGATTGGACTTGGAGGAGCAAGGCAAAGTACAAAATATACATAAAGTAGGATGGATGGATGGATGGATGGATGGATGGATAGATGAGACAGAGCAGGGAATGGCTAGGCAGGGTAGGGTATAGCAAGAGGCAATGAGGTAAGACAAA